CAGTTACCAAGATAAATCTTTTCTGATGTGGAAGATCAGACTATGCTGCAACCACAGAGCATACTTAGACAGTATCTTGGCTCTGATACCAATTGTTGCGAAAGCCAAATGTATATAGTGTGAATAAGTCACAACTACTATACCAAAAATTATGACAGCCACCAAATAATAAATAAGACAATAAAGCAACAATAAGTGGAACACCAGAATTTACGAGGTTCGACTAATTTTGCCTACTCCTCGGATACAACCAATATTTTATTTCACTCCAAAAATACAAGTGAAATAATACTAAAAAGAGAAGATACAAATGCCTTAAACAGATGAGAAGACAAATGAGGGGTGTGTTTAAATCCTAAATATTAGGCCTTCTTTTATAGGGGGAAAAATCCCCCAACTCTTCTCCCAACATATGTGGGACTTTGGCATTTTGCCAAACTTCTAACAAATTATATACTCCAAGAATTGTCATGAAGTAAGGATTTGCTGGCATTAACATTTTGGCAGCATTAATGGTCATGTTCGCTTCTGCAGCCTTTGGTCGCCCTCTTTTGCGAGGATTATAAGGCCTTCCCTGCCCTACAGATTTCTCCTGTTGCTGGCCGGTGAATGATTTCTTTGTATCTGCAATTCATCAAATTAATTCTCAATGTGATACGAGTGAGTTTTCAAGCCTACAATCTTCTGTCGGAAAAAGAAACCAACCGTTCTTGCAATTGCTTTCTATTTGAAGATACAGGTCCGAATGCATCTGAAGTCTCCGTATGCTTACTTTCGTTGAACTGAAGACAGTTTTTTCCAATAGAAAGTGTTGGTTCAGATACGCTACAAGTTTGTAAGTTTGTTGACTTTTCTTCCACCCTAGAGCGAAATATGTGCACCTTCAGCATAAGCTCATCAGTCTTAAGGTCCTTGATCAACTCAAAGACACAAGCATCTCCTACCAATAAACCATTATCCCTAACAAATTTAAACCATCCTTCGCTTAAAAACAGATGCATTTTCCTCCTAATGCAACGAGCTTTCCACTTATTTCCAGCAGAATCTTGAAGTTCAATTAGTTCTAAAGTCTTTGGCATATACTCTCGGACAAAATTAGCTGGTATATTCTGCAGATTATGACAACTTGCTAAGATTGTGTCAAGAAGAATGTGAGATTAATATACATGAGTTTGAAGATATTGAGATACAAAGCAGTTTACAATGAATAAAATGACACCTTTAGTTTAATGTATAGGTACAAATGCTCACCAGAATACGGTTCCGTACTACGTTATATTCTACAAGAATCTGCATGAAGTAAGGATTTTCCGGCTTGAACATTTTGGCGGCATTAATGGCCCTGTTTGTTTCTGTTGCTTTAGCTCGTCCTCGTTTGTGAGGCCTTCCACGCCTTACAGACTTCTCCCATTGCTGGCCAGTGAATGATTTCCTTGTATCTGCAATTGGTTCTATTTGAATATATTGGTCCAAGTGTATCTTATGCTTACTTTCATTGAGCTGAAGTATATCGTTTTCACTTCCCACTTGTGCATTATCTTGATTAGTCACACCTCCAGTTACCACTGCAGAATATATAGGAGTATCCATATTTTGCTGAACTAATTTTCCCACAAGTGGCTTAGTTAAATTGCTACCGCCCAATATGTTTAAATTCTTTTCACTTAATACCCGTCCCTCGTCATGCAATTTGTTTGTTCTGCTTCTTGTATCATAGAAATGCCAAAATTTACTCCTAGGTAAAATTTTACATCTTTTGGCTCTAGATGACTTAGCTGAACTCTCTGGTCCTTGCTCAGTTTCCAAGGGATCCACAATTTCAACAGAGCTTTCGTCATCTTTATCATCACCAACACAGCAGATTATTTCCTTCCCGTAAGACAGGCTCTGACTAATGGCACCTAATTTAGCATTACCATGATCCTTACATTGATAATCAATCTCAGTAGCGTTGAGGTCAAATATGTGAACATTGAAATGTGAGTTCTTCCCATATTTGAAGAGTAAAAAGTACCAACACCCGATAGAATGATGTTCCATAAATTCTCGCCAACCATCATGAAGCCAAATCATTTTACCAACCTTCTTCACATTCACACACCAAAAATCATCAGTCGGAACAATAAGCTTGACAGTTTCAAGGAGTTCATCTCCATGTTCCTGGACAAAGGGATCTGGCATGCGCTGCACAGAGAAATAATTACAAACATAGATTTGTATAAGGTAAGAAAAGAATGAAGTACTAACAACTTATGGCACAAAATGGTGGTGTAGCAATTGTAATCTTAATTAATATAGAATAGAAAACTCATACATCAAATTTTTCTAAGTTTCAAATGGAGCGATTATCCACCAGCAAGCAGAAAAAACATTCTTACCAGAAAGCAGGAGAAGAGAGACTAGAAGAGCAATGACTGACAATCTCGAGGATGTAAAAATTTGAGTGCAACAGTGGAATGAAAAGCCAAAGAATGGCAGATTTGCTATAGATACTGAAGTATCAATATATGAAATGATGCCACGAGTATCTCTAGTTTCTATTTTTTTATGAACTATAGATTATCCATCTTTTCTTTGCCGGAAAAAAGGTAGAAGTACGCAATTCAATATAACTTAAGGAAAGGTCGAACAACTCCTTGATGAAGTACTGACAACGTTACTTGCAGCATCAAATTCTGTCACTAGAATGACATTTTGTACATAAAATTTTCATCATTGCGAAAATAAACAAAGCCCTTTGTGCAGTGTTATATAAAATGTAAGAAGAAAATTCAAAATGTCCAATGACCTATGCTAGGCGATCGTTACAGAGGCAATCTTAGAGAAAGGATGACAGCGATGATACAGAGCGGTCAGTGCTCACGCTCATACATGTTATCTGACCCTTCTACGTGATAACATGAGTGACTCAAACTATCATAAAAGAGAATTTCTTCAACCACGGTTTCACGATAAAGATTTGCTTAGGGGTCATAAAAAACTAGAAAAATTATGTTCGGGTTATTCTCTACATAGCCTAATCAGCTTGCTTTTTCTGGCACAAAATTACAAAATTTCCATCAATCACCATACTCTAAGTTGTCACAACCTAATACTAATCTCACTACAACCAAGTAAGCAAATAAGAAAAGAAAAAAGTTGGAAAAATACAAATCAAGGAACTTTTCTGCCAGCAAAATATAGGAGTACAGACATGTTTCCACTCGTTCCCGAACTTGCCTTCATTTACACTATTGAATAAGGCAAAAAGGGATGACCAATTGAACATCATCAATTCTCATTTAGGTGCAGGACATGAATTCAAGAACCAGGATATATACACTGCAAAAGCTGAAGATTTAATGTTTAAAGGTCTTTTATATAACATTGTCAGAGCCAAACACCACCTTAGTACTCCGATGTACACATCGCCACAGTGAATTCAAAATGTACAGTGCAATTTCTTATGAATCACCATGATAAATGTTAGTATAACCATCCGTCAGCCCATGAATTTTCTTATGTAGGATCATTGTTTCACTTATGTACACAAACTGAAAACATTTTGCTATTTCTAATTAGAATCATCGCAATGTATGTGCAGCCAATGCAAATGCACCTATGATTTTTGGTTGACCTCATACATAGTTGAAGTATATATTTATGCTTCATTCCTACTGATTGTGCATGCACTAATTTCTGACTTTCAAATTTTGGGTTCACCTCTGAGAATCATTGGCTTACACGTGGAGTATAGTAGTTTCAAACCATCTAAATATTCTACTGATCAAGACACACAACTAGAGGCGGAGCCAGGATTTGAAGTATTCTAATTTTTTTAAGTGATTGGGCTCTAATTTAATAATTTGTACATAACTTAACGATTTTTTAAGACAAGTAAAGGATTTGCACAAAAGTTATTAGGTTCAGCCGAACCCGTATTCAAAGGGCTAGCCCCTGCACACAACCTAAACAAGACATCAAGATTCTAAGCTAATTGTATCGATCGAGATTGTTCATGGGTTTTCAAAAGACGTCCTTTTGTTCATATATTAGTTTATGAGTTCAAATTCTTTGCAATAAAATCTTAAATTTTCTACGATAAAAAATAACTTGTAATTCTTCATGATAAATGAAATTAGTAACTAGTAAAATAAGACGCTCAACCAACCTGCTACTTCAACAAATTAACTTACCCTATGTATATAACTTAAATCCTTTTGTTTATTTGATTGAATTAATTGAGATTGGTTTTGAGTGGCAAATTAAAGGGGGCGGAGTAGTAGTATTGAGTAAGAACTTACAAGTTGGCCGTCATCAATGACGGAAGGCTCAACGATCACGTAGAAACTGGCGGACGAGTAGGAGTAGGTTCTGGGTTCCATCCTCACGGCGTTTGCACTAATTGACGATTTTCCGGTTGAGAAATTGGCAGAGAAAAGAGCATTGACCATGCAGGCAAGTGTCAATGTTATAACTTTATTGTAGGGTAGCAAACTTTTCGGCTTCGTAGAATATATTTCCCATAAATAACAAAAAATTATTCTAAATACTTATGATACTAATGTTATTTAGGAAATTACATGATTTTTCTTTGACTAAGAGTATTTTTTTTTCAAGTCTTTAAAATTAAGATAACGCTTAATTGTTTGTGAATTATGATGCTTTCAGTTATGTAAATTTAATACATAATTACCCCTGCAGTTATGTAAATTTAATACATAATTCTTCTTTTCTTTTATTCTCTTTCCTGTTTACTTCTCCCTCATTACTCCATCCACCATTTTCACACCCCCAGCTAGCTTCTTCCATTTTCTTTTCTTTCTTTTTTTCTACCATTTTTTCTATTCTTTCTTAATTAATGCCTTAACTTTTTTTTATTTTTTTATATTTTTTTTTTCTATTTGTCTTCTTCCTTGTAGTATTTCGCAGGATAAGTTAATGATTTTGGCGAGAAGCAAATTTTGTTTTGCAATTATGTTTTTTCCTTTTCATTTTACTTTTTTTTCTTTTACATTTTTCTTTTCTTTTTTCTTTCTTTTTTTTCCTTTGCAATGTTTCTCACCGAAAAAATAGTGATTCGGCGACATCATTTTACTGCCAAGTTATCTCCACCATATATTGTCCTATTTTCTATAAATTTAGAAGATTATTTTTACGCTATTCAAAAGGCCTCACAATTTTATCATTTCTATTATCTCCGACAACCTTTTGATTTAATATAAGAGTTTTTCAGCGGGTGATGCATGATGGTTGACAACGAGGAACACAGAGGGGGAGGTTATGAGTACAAGAGGGATCAGAAATGGTGAAGAAAGAGATATAGAGAAAAAAATGTAAAAGAAAAAGAATAAAATAAGATTAAAAAGACAAATAAAAAGTTAAACCGAAAAATATTAAAAACAAAATTAATTTGACTTGTGGCACGGAAAGAATGGTGCGTGATTTGGACTTCTTCTTTTGAAACTGGGGATGGCTTGGAAAGGTGGTAGTTATTACACTTATAACAAGTATCGGGGGTCACAAGAGTATAAGGGTGCAACTGGTAAAGTGAAACAATCTCAGGGGATAATTATATATTATCCCCATAATTATACATATATAATACATAAGTTATGCATATATTATATCTCAATCGGCTATTTCTAGTTTAAATGGTTGAGTGCGCAGCTATTTGGGTTCAATTTTAAGTATGTACTAGGAGTCAGTGTGATAGGTTTTCAATGTCTTTGCCTTATGTTTTGATGATCTAACAAACTTACTGTTAAGGACCAGATAAGGAACCTGACACACTTGGACTATACTGCAAGTTAACAGATTCCAGCTAAATATGAACTGCTATAGCTTCAGGAGATAGGAAACCAAACAAGGACTCGATACCCTTGTGGTTCCCTCATAGCAGTACAAAGTCAATTGGACACAGCTGGAAGCGACGTGACCGCCTGCACTGTTTCTTCCTGCACTGCACTGTTTCCAATGCCCACTTATTCCTTGACCAACTAAAGTGCTTACATCATTTCAAGTGATGTCATCAAGGTGTATCAACAATGAGTTTATATCAAAACATCACTTGAACATTTCTGTTTCTCATTCAAGCCTTTTGCAAAATAGAGAAATTAATTCTCACGAGCTTGAAGAACAAAGTTAAACGCTACTATGGACCGGTTCCTAAAGTTAGTATTTTGTTGTCCTTAGTTGAGTTGTAACTTTGTGATTGTTTTTATTGTATCTCCTAAACTACTTAGCCAAAAGCGTTGATTAGGAACCCTCTTGTAAAATCCGTAAACTCTCTGAATTTATGTTGTGACTAGGTTTAGTCATAAGTTAAAGTCTTTGTAACTAGAAAGTGACAAAGTGGCTTGTGATAAGAGTATCACAAGTTAGTTAAAGTCTTTGTAAGTAGAGAGTGACAAAGTGGCTTGTGGTGAGAGTACCACGGGTTAGTTGAGTTGAATTCTTTGTAATGGAGTCATTACAAAGTGGCTTGTAATAGGTGTATACAAGTTAGTGAAGTTGAAAGCCTACAGGTATAGGTCGTGGTTTTGTCTCCTTGAGTTGGGATTTTTTCACGTAAAAATCATGTGTCTTATTTACTTACAACTTTATTAGCATTCTCAACATAACCTCATAGAGTACCATGTACTTTACTGATTGGTGGACTCATACAAACTAACAATTGGTATCAGAGTGGGTTCCTCCTATCAGGCTAACACCTAGGAAGGATCCTTATGGTTGTTCACCAAATTTTGAAGAAGTTCAATCTACATACCGACCACTCAGGTTCAATGGACAATATTATGGGTGGTGGAAAACAAGAATGCATGATTTTATCATGGCTGAGGATTCTGAGTTATGGAATGTCATATGTGATGGTCCTTATGTTCCAACAAAGGTACTGGAAAAACTTCTATTTTTAATGTCAAAAACCAGTAAAGAATACACCGACGCAGATAGGAAAGTCGTGGACAAGAATTTTCGTGCCAAGAAGATTCTGATGTGTGGAATAGGACCTGAAGAATATAATAGAATCTCCGCTTGCGACGCTGCTAAGGAGATATGGGAAGCTTTGCAAACAGCTCATGAGGGAACCACCCAAGTAAAACAGTTTAAGATCAATATGCTCACTACCAAGTTTGAACTCTTCAGGATGAAGGACGATGAATCTATTCAAGATATGCACACAAGATTCACTTCCATCATAAATGAGTTACACTCACTTGGTGAAACCATTCCTAGAAATAAACTAGTGGGAAAAATCCTCAGTATTCTGCCTAGCCCTCGGGAAAGCAAGGTGAATGCTATTACTGAATCAAAGGACTTGCATGAGCTGACCATAGGAGAGCTGGTTGGAAATATGAATACCTACGAGATGAAGAGGAAGATAGACCGTGAAAAAAGAGAACCAAATAAAGAAAAATAACTTGGTACTCAAAGCTGATAGCAATGACTCAAGTGAGGAAGACAGTGACATGGCTAACTTAACCAAAAGATTTCAGAAGATGGTCAGAAGAAATAGAGAAATGCTAAAAAGGGGCAACTCTAGCAAACCAAAAAACTATAATCTCTGTCATAAGTGTGTAAATCATGGACACTTCATCAAAAAGTGTCCTCTCTTGAAGCAAGAATTCTCTAAGAACAACCCTAAAAAAGCAGCTAAGAGGAACCCGGTTCCTTTTAAGAACTTTAAAAGAAAGAGATCAACTAACAATATGGTGAAACATGCTCTTGCAGCATGGGGAGATTCCTCTGGTGAGTCTGAAGATGAAACTGATGCTGGGATAGTTCCATGATAGCAGTTGAAGGCGAGGAAAATGAATATGACTCAACTTTTGCTTTGATGGCCCAAAGATGATGATGAAGATAATGACAACAAGGAGGTAAATTTCAGGGATGTTCAGAGAAATCTGAAATCCTACTCTCCTAAGAAACTCATGTCTTTAGCTAGTGTATTGATTGATGCCTGCCATAGTCTTGTGGAGGATAGGGATTCCTTGACCTTAAAATTATGAGAAGCTGAACAAACTAGAGATGACTTGGTGGCTGTAGTTATTAACCATAAGGAAACCATTGAAAACTTCAAAGAAGAAAGAAATGATCTCTTGGCAGTAATTACAGACCTAAGGAAAACAATAGAGAGACCAGGGACTAAGTCAGAACCTGGAAATTCTGGAAAAGGAAAAGAGGTAGCTAGTGATGAACACATTAGGCTTGAAAATGAGTTGAAAGCTGTGAGAACTAGGATGTGTGTTGAAACTAAGAAAAACAAGCACCTCCAAATTGATCTGGAAAGAGTAAAAAATAATCTTGAAAAGTTCCCAAAGTGGACCTGGTCCTTAGAAGCTATCACTGACATGTACACTAATAATAGTGGAAACAGGCAGGGAATAGGGTTCCAAAGGGATAAAACTCCTTACAACCCTCACAGTAAGTACGTCATTTTTTCTGATAACTGGTTTTGTACCCACTATGGGAACAATGGGTACTTCAAAGAAAATTGACAGGCCAGGGTTCAATCTGTTCAGAAAAACTAAGTGTTTGCTAAAAAGTAACTACAAAAGAGGGACTAGTTTCCACTCACAAAAGGCACACATTACCTGCATGGACTAAGAGAGCTCTTATTCATCCTCTTGCCTACTACAAGGGACCCAAACTTGCTTGGTTCCTAAAATTAACTCTTGATCTTCTTGTGCAGGGAACAGTGAAAGGAAGCGGTCAATAATGGTTCATAGATAGTGGATGTTCAAAGCACATGGTTGGGAATACCATGGAATTTCTTTCACTAAAAGCCATGCAAGGAGGGAGTGTATCCTTTGGCAATGGGAAAAAGGGGTACATTCTTGGAGTTGAAAAAGTCGGGAAGTCACTCACTCATTCTATTGAAAATGTGTACTATGTCAATAGCCTTAAGTACAGTCTCTTAAGTGTCTCGCAGATCTGTGATAAAGGAAACAAGGTGGAATTCTTGTACAAGATATGTACAATTACTAATCTGGTAACTGGTGAAGTGGTACTTGTGGCCAAGAGATATAAGAACATCTATGTTGCTGATTTTGAGTCCGTACAAAGTGGTGATCAGAGTTGTCTGAAAGTTATTGATGATAATGTTGAACTGTGGCACAGAAGATTAGGGTATGCAAGCTTTTCTCTTCTGAACAAACTAATTCAGAAGGACCTGGTCCATGGTCTGCCCATGTCAAAGTTCAAGGTGCAAAAAATTTGTGATGCCTGTGCTAGAGGAAAACATGTGAAGTCCTCTTTTAAGTCTAAAAGGGATGTGAGCACCTCAAAGCCACTAGAGCTTTTGCATATGGACCTATGTGGTCCTATGAGAGTGCAAAACAGAGGAGGTAAAAGATACATTTTTTTGATAGTGGATGACTACTCCAGATTCACATGGACTATTTCTTAGAACTAAAGATGAAACCTTT